AACATCTGGTGAAAATTTCATGTCATTAGCGCCTCTAGTAATATATTTACTGAGAAAAATGGTGACGTGTTCAATACTTATTTTACCCGCTGTAACTATTAACTCCAACCACACCAGGTGGTGATTTCTTCAGCTGAGCCATAAACAGAGAACTGATCATTGTAAAGAATTTCAAAAACATCATCAGAAGAAGCAAAGGTAGTAGTCAAGGAGTAATCGAACACAGATCCACTGAGCCTTCAACACATGGCATCTTCAGAAGACAAGTTGATAACATAAATGTTTAAAATCTGTGTTGAGTCATACATAGTGTGTATTGAACCTAGAGTACTGTGAATGACTTTATACAGATACTAGGATTATTGCAACCCTAATGACAAAGAAAAAAAAATCACCTGAAATTGTTCTGGCTTTTGGTTTTGGTGTACCCCCTCAGTTTTAGTGGCCTCCACATCTGGTCCTCCCGTCACACCATTCCTGTTGCAAACCAGAAACTGTGTTTATGGAAATATTAGTCCTGTAAACCAGAGAAAATGCCTGAAAAGAGAATTGATTCGTTTAAATCTTGACCACACTACTAAGAATTTAATTATGTCACTTTTAAGAGACACAACCTAATAGGAAAAGAAATTGTTTGAGTTTATCTGTGCATGTTTGTCAGTCAGTTTGTTAGCAAAATATCTCACGAACTATTACACTGCATGGAAATCTCAGGAAATAATATATTGAATGTTAATCTACAAGTGATTAACTTTTGGAGTCAATCTTATTTAAGATGTCATCACACACAGACTTTTAGAAACACAAAACACTGCATACTGAGCTTGGTGTGGTAGTGGCTGAGAGTCGGTCACTACACCCTGTGTGAGAATTAAATGTCCACAATGCAGCATAAATCTCAGCATAAAGACATTTTAGTTTAAAACTCTGTCTGGCATGGACAGGTTAGGCCATTGATCTATATTATTATTACTTATTACTTATTACTATTAATATATAACATTACTACTAATATACAGTATATTAC